GTGATGCAACCTCCATTTAGTGAACGAACGTCAATATGTTGAGCTGGAATCATGAATGGATCTTCCTTACTAAATAAACGTGGTATTGCTTTAACTGATTCTTCAATTAAACCGTATCCTGGTGTAATGCATTTATCCTCTAAAACTTCCATCTTTGTGCATGAAATAATAACGTCTTCAACTGTTGCGTCAGCAGATGTAGTGGCTAAGCTTGTAATTAATTTGGCAGGAAGTCCGATTTGTTGGAATTTGCGATCATATTTATAAACATGATTCATAATCTTTTCATAATTTTCATCAGTTATCTTTTCATAAACGTAATTTTGTAAATCAGCAACTCTTAACGGGTCAACCTGACAAAATACTAAAGTATCCCTGAAAACATAATATTTAAGAATGATTTCACCAAATGATTTAGGATAATCATCGAACGCCTGAAATGCTAACAAATCATTTACCGGAATAATCATATCAAAAGTGACATCAACTTCTTCATTTGCTTTCTTGAAAACTTCTGAAGGGTCAATATATTTACCACATACTGAGTTATCATATTTTTGAACATTATTATATAACGAATGAACAAACTTTTTAACTTTCCTTTCTGATTTTGGTTTATATGTTGCAAATGCGAAAGATTCACGGGCGCAATCCATCTGAAGATAACCAGCATCACCTCTTTCGGTTTCTACTTCTAATTGCTTAAAGCTTTGATTTGATGATTTATAACCAACGAATAAACGCATGCATTTAAAAGCGGCATCACATGTGAAAGCTTTATTTGAAACTAGAGTTGCTTTAACTTTGCGTTTAATATATGTGTCACCTAATTGGTTCACATCATGAGCCGGATTTGTAATTCTTAAATGAGTTTGTTTATCATCAAAATATGGAGCATCAGAGTCATAGCATGAACTTTCAAGTTCTCTATAATATCTTCTTCCATCATTCTTTGCGAATATTTCATTTATCTTTTCGAATGAATGAAATACATTTCCATTAATCGGTTTAGTGTTTGGCACTAAATAGTTAGTCGTCATTTATTATTAAATAAAAAATCAAAATTAAAAGATGAAAATGAATTTTTAATTTTAATGAAATAATCAACTATGGCTGCAGGATTCTTTAAGAAACTGTGGGATAAAGTAAAAAGAGGAGCGCATAAAGTTTGGGAAGGGATTAAGAAAGGAGCAAATTGGATATTTAAGAATAAAGAAGCAATTAGTGACGTTGCTGAACAAATAGCACCTAATGTTCCGGTAAGGGAAGTATTAAATAAAGGAGATAAGGTTTATCGTCGACTACAACCGATACTAAGATAAAAATAATATTTATTTATTTTTCCACTATCTACCCCCTATTTTATTAAGTATTCCTTCAGCAATTCCACCAACTGCGTTACCTGCTTGTGCTCCCATCGCCGGATTACCTGCTTTAGCACCTAATACTCCTCCTATGATAGTTCCTGCCGTTTTCGCTACTGGTGCCAAAAAGTTTGCAACGGGTTTAATAATCTTTTGATGAACCCAACTTGCAGCTTTCTTAATTCCTTCCCATAATTTTTTAAAGAATCCTGCCGCCATCTCTGATTTAATATTAATTAAAAAATATATTTCATCACTTATATTCTAATTTTTTATTTAATGATAAATGAAACCGATTTTAAAAATAAATGAAACAGAGGAGGAAGAAATAAATGAAAGTGAAAATGTTCAACAAAAAATAAACGTTGTTAAACCAATTACTGAAATAAAAATTTTTTCATCTGTTGATGAATTTAATGACTATTATGCTAATAATAAAAAATTATTTGAAGAATTGACAACATGTAAATTGAATAAAATGTTTAAAGTTGAGGACAGAGTCCAAGACCCGGAGGGTCATGGATTCAAAATTTCAAAAATAAAAGGTGTTGTTAGTTTAAAATCTATTCCTCAATCAAGAATCACCTCATTAATGAAAATTGATGATTTAACAAAAAGAATAGAAATTATTGAAGAGCGAATAAATCAAATTATTGATTTCATAAATCATGACTCGTTGAGCCCGGGTCCTTAAAGTCCATCACTGAGTTCAAGGTTATATTCATCAAATATTTCATTATTAAATGCAACTTCTGCTAGTTTATTTATTTTTTCAATACGATCATTTGAAAGTCTATCGTTTAATTTTTTCTGAAGTTTTTCATTTTCTAGTTCTGAAACTTTATTTGGATGATATTTAAACCCGTTAAATTCTTTTTCCTCAGTTTTGATCATTAATTTACAAAGAACTTTTGTGGTTGGAATTCGTTTAAACCATTTATCATTATATTTATACCTCATTAGCTTATTTTGGCTTTCATATTCATTTAATAATTCACAATCTTCATTTTTAAATTGAAGTTTAACCCATTCAGGATTTAAACAATGTTTAATTAATCGCGGAATATCTGACATCATCTATATATAGCTTCTTTTATAAAAGATAAAAAAATAAATTATTTTAAAATTAATGTTAATTTTTATAAATTATATTTTAATGCATCGTCTATATATAGATGTAACAAAAAAAGTCACTAACCCCGCACTCATATACTACTATCTGATATATCTAGATTAATGAACATAAAGCATAAAAGACGCAACATAATATAGTAATACATATATATCTTTATTAGATCAGAATATTAATTTACAAAAAAAAAATTTCAAGATATATTAAAACCAATTGTTTGTATTGGAACAACTTAAAATCTTACATTCATTGCAAAATCTTAGAATTCATCATAGATTTTCTTCATTCGGAACAATATTATTTTCATTCGATATTAAATAATTCCATTCAACACAAGACTTCAATTTACTAAAAAATTATACAGATAACTTTAGAACAAATTCTTTTTAAAAATCCTTTGAAGGTAAAAAATTAAGCGTAATTTAAAGGATTTATGGTGTATTTAGTGATTAGAAAGTGAATCTATTACATGTTCATTTTTCAAAATGAGAGGAAATGAGATTAATCTAATAATTTTCAAATTAATCTAACAGAAGCATGAATTTATAATTCCAAAGAATTTGTTAATCATAAATTCTGCAAAATTGATCTTTAAAGCCGTACATCCAAAAACATGGGGTAGCTAGACTTTTGTGTAAACAAACGCTCTTTCAATTTTTTTTGAATGAAAAATTTACCATTTCTTTTTAAAATATAAAATATCAATTATTTTATACAATCTAACATAACCAACTTGAAACAACTTTTGAATGATGTACCGGAGATATCCAACAACACAATAAATATTTTAGATTAGGGATAGAATCTATTAATATTATGTTTTGAAAATGCGGTTATTTTTGGACTTTTGTGAGTGCGAAAATCATTATACTTTTGCTCTCCATACTTTCATATAGCGATATTTATATTGCTGGCCCAAATATTACATCAGGACAACTCAATGCAGGCTATTATAAAATCGAAATTGCAGGTTCAAAAAGCGGGGAAGTTACATATCATCAAGAACAATTTGCAGAAGGAGGTCATGGATCTTATGCATCCGCTAAATTTCATGTTGTTGATAAAATTGAATATAATTTTACAGTCGGAGAAAAAGCAAAATTTAATGCAGGTGAAGGTGTTGAATCAAATGGTTGGAAAACAGGATATGGAGGTGGTTCTTCATCAGCTTTGATTGGAAATAACCTTATTGTTGCTGCTGGAGGATCAGGTGCTGCAGATCATATTTCAGGAAATCCAGGCGGTGGCGAAAATTATAACTATATTTACGATCATTCTTCTCACAGACATGTAAAAAATACAAATACTTCCTATATGAGCCATAATTCTTATGGAGAGAATGGATTTTCTGAAGTTGGAGATAGTTCAAACACCATATATCACACCAGCAGAAACTTCAGAACCATCAGATCCAACCGAATCTGATTCAGTCACCCCAAGTAATTCTGATAAACCAGATTTCAATCCTAATACCCCAAATCCAAATTCAAATATAGAAAAAACATATAGGTATGAAGATATTCAGTATATTCGATCCAAATTATTGACTGTTAACGGACGTTTGTATCATTTTTAGAAACCTTGTTTGTAGTATAATAAAGCGAACTTTTTTAAAATATAATTTTTCAATAATTTTGATATTGCTTGAAAATTTTCGGTTAATGAAGAGTTTCCATTGTTTCATATATATATCGAATGAGAAATAATATCACTGTGACATATATAGACAACTATGATACCCTTTCAAAAGTCTCAAATCGCAGAAACAAAGGTTTGATATAAATTTAAATTAATATCTAATGTTTCCCAACAGTAATGTGAATATCAGGACAAATACTAATTCTGCATAAAGTTTTCAAAAAAATGGAAGACTTTATTATTATTTTTTTTAAAGAAAAGATCATAGCATAGGAAGGAGTATTATTTTCATTATAGAAAATGATTATATCTTAACGTATTCTCATCAAAAATACAATTCAATGAGATTCATTGAATGCCTCTCAATTCAATGCAAAATATTCAATTTTCAAAATCTAGTCAAAAACAAATCTAATTATTTCAGCTGCATAAACAAATTCAAGCCATAATATTCGAAATATAAAACATAAAATTTGTATCGCTTTCAATATTTGATTAGACCTTCAAAACAATCCAATAATGACCTCAAAAGTTTACTATATAAACAGCTTTGATTCATATTGTTGCATGAATTTAATTAATATATTCGATCCTATTGGATTGCCTGTATTTTTTAATTTCAATATTATTTATAGTAAATTCTCTCATTTTAAATTGCTATCTCGATCATGAAAATAAATCTCATCACTTTGACCGTTCCTACGATGTCTAATTTTTGAATGATTAATTACAGTATAATGGAAGTATTCAAAAATGTTTTTGATTTAATTATAACCATTTCTATATTATAATCATTTTCCTAGATACATGATTTTTCAATGTACTCTCAAAAAATCAATTGGCCGATTTTTTAATCATTCTTTATAATGCCAGAGATTATTCGCTTCCATGGAGGGATTGAAGAATTATCATCAACAATCATTAACTATAAAGGAACATCGATTCTAGTCTTTGATGCTTCTTGGTGCCCTGGCTGCAGAAGACTCTCAAGATTTTTACCAAATTATGCAGCAGAGTTCCATTCACTTCAGTTCATTGTTATAGATACTGATGAAAATTCTCAAGTTAAAACTTATTTCGGAATCGAAAATCTACCAGTTATCAAATTTTGCAATGACAAATCGAAATTACATGTGGAAACAACTATAGTTGGTCTCAATATGCCATTGATCAAGGAAAAATTAGCTATTGTAGCATGACGAAAGGATTTTTTTATTCATTCATAAGCCTCAGATCTGCCAATACCTGAAAAGAAATATGATCGATCATATTCAATTTGATGATAATTAACTTTATATTTCAGAAATGTTTTTTAAAATATATTATTCATTTTTTGTTTTTAATTAAAAAATAATGTGCCATATAACTTGTATGAATCAATGTGAATCAAATCTACAATGATATTTATCCATAGATTATAAAATATATGATTCTATCTTTACTATATAGTTTATGAACATCTAACTTTGTCTTCGTAACTGTTTAACGTTTAAAATAGATAGGGCAACATATTGATGCTTAAAATATAAGAAATCTTCATGGTTTCTTAAAATTATTCTGAAATACAGTTTTTCTATTTAAAAAGCTATAACATAGCAGTTTTCTGGAATTTTCTTCCATGTGATTGCTTATTATTTCTTTGAATGAATCATCATATTGCACTGTCCAAGTGCAAAAAGCAGGCAGAAATTCAAAGAAAGCTGATAGATGTTACTGAAGAATCTATAGAAGCTTTAACTATTGACCTTTTAAAGCTTCATCCTTGGTTTTCAACCTTTATTGCAAATCAAATTTACTTTATAATTCAAATACGCCCATTTAAACATGAAATTTATGCAGATTTATATTATAAATTATCGAAAGATTGCAGTTTTTATCCAAATTTAAGAAAAATCGCTCTGAAAAACTTAAAAATACCATTTACGAGACGAATTTATGAATATGGTCTCATTACTATCAATGATATTATCAAAGATGATCCATTTAATAAAATATATGCTGATGTTATTCCCGGATATTACGATTTCTTGACAAACTCGCTTAATATTGATCACTTTAAAGTTACAAAACAATGGGTGTATGATGGATATCATGAATCAACTATTGAACATGCAATTAAATTCGATAATCTGGAAAATTTTTCAAATTTTTCTTCTAATCCTAATTTTAATATCGAAAACGCACCACGACAAGGAAGATTTGAAGAAAATACCAACAAAATTCATAATTACTATGATTATCTTTCATTTGCTGCACATTACGGAGCAACAAACGTTTTTCGCTTTTTACTTGGAAATGGAGCAAAGATAAACACAAATACAATTAGATATGCAATTGAATCTGGTTCAGCAGAGCTTATTCGTTTATGTTTACAAAATGGATGTGAAATTGACGGAAATAATGCAATTTACGCTTATAAATTTCATAGATACGAAATACAGGATTGGATTAGAGATGAGTTCAATATAACAAGGTTTGATATTAATAATTTATACTCAATTATAAATATTGCAGACAGATCACTAATGCAACCGATATTATTGGACTTAATAGAATCAGGATACTTTGATTTCGCTCGACTTTTTATTATAAGAGGCTGTGAAATTAATTTTGAAATGAATTTAGAAACACCATTAAGTATGGCGGCCAGATGTAATGATATTAAATTTGTTCAGTTCCTTCTTGAAAGAGGAGCCAAGGAATTCCTTACAAATCCAGATCGTCCGAGATATCCTATTTTTCAATGCTCAAATTACCAAAATTTCGAACTTTTAAGGGATAAATGGTTCGATCCTAATGTAGTATATCCTGAAAGACAAAGTCCTTTTGCTATGTTGTTTAGTTATTCTGATGAAAAAACAATTAATTTCATGATTCAACAAAAAGTCAAACCAATTCAAAGAGATATACATTTTGCTGCTAATAATGGTAATTTATCCTGTCTTAAATACTTTGTTGATGAATGTGGACTGAAATTAAACAAAGAAACACTTCAAATAGCTCTCTCAAAAGGACAAACAGAAATGGTTGATTACATCATTTCAAAAGGGATACATTGCGATCCTGCTAACATTCCGAAGCATAAAATTGAAGAAATTAAAAAAATTTATGAAAAATATAATTTGAAATTCGAATTTTCGGAATATGAAACAAACAGATATTGCATTAAATATGCCATTGCTTCAAATCCAGAGTTTAAATTATCAGAAAGAAATTTTGCTGAATCTTTTGATGATTTACTTTGTTATTATCAAAATGGTGTTCGTACATGCAAGAGAATCAGATGCGCGAACTATGAACTTATAGATGACATGAATTCACTACTTTAAATTTTTTTCTTTTGTTTTGTATAAAGTTTGTATTGCAGAATATTTAAACTCAATTTTTATTTAATTTTTCAATATAAATACAGAGAAGAAATTGGCTTGGGGAATTTTTTGTGGGTTAATATCGGGTCGTTATCGATTTTGTAATTTAATCGTTATCGTTATTGATTTTGTAATTTAATCGTTATCGTCTTTTTCTAAACGTGCATTTTCTTCATATTGGGATAATGAACATAACTTGTTCTGAGCTTCCAATGCACAAATCGTTTTTATTCTAAATGGATTCATTCCTACAAGTTTGGCAGAAATCAGTGAATATCATCATATATCGAATTCTTCAATTTGGCAATTTATTTAAAATCGTTCTCAAGAATTCTTATCTTCATGTAGTCAAATAAAACGGAAATGCGAAAACAAACTTTTATTCGATATTACAAAAAAAAATTATATTGATCGCTAAGATTTAAATACGTATAGTTTAAGTATATGTGGTATCATTATGTGCATATTCTGATATATATACTTGAATGATATCACAAAAATAACAGAAATACAAATCTTGAATTAAATTATATCATAGAATACAATTTTAATAAACGAAAAATCAAACCCTCTCGCAATACAGCCATTTTTAAGAGTAGTTCTTTCAAGATCTTCGAAGATTTGGAAGATCTTGGAAGAACTGCCCTCTAAATGGCTGTAGCTTCGGTATTGTTACTATCAAGTAGAAAGTTACGGTAATTACTGCCATTTTAAGAGTAGTTCTTTCAAGATCTTCCAAATCTTCGAAGATCTTGAAAGAACTGCTCTCTAAATGGCAGTAGTTTCGATGTTAACATGATAATATGAGTGAAATTTTCTTATTTGAAGTCGGTTAAAGAGCAGTTCTTTCAAGTTCCTTCAAATCAGGAAGGGTCTTGACAGAACTGTCCTCTTATTGATTGGAATACCGGTATTTTACGTTGGTAAATGCTTGATTTGAATTGGGGGCTGAGTGTTGGAGAAAAAAAAACATTAAAAAAATAAAAAGTGCCAAAATAAAAGAATTCAATCTACATATATATAGTATTTCTAGGCCTGTCCAAACTTTTAAAAAAGCTTACCACGTGGAAGGAAGAGACCAAAAAAATCGTGCCTCGGCGGCTTCGCCGCCTCGGCACTAAAAACAGCATATCATATTTAATATGTCCTTTTTTCTTTTTCTCTTTTCCTCTTTCTCTCTCCTTCTTTTCTTTCTTCTCTTTTTCCTTCTTTTCTTCTCACTTTCTTTTTGGAGCTGCTTTACTTTGAAATCTCTCATCAATTGATGAGAGAAATAATAGTAAAGTAGCTTCAATGTAAATACGTACATTGATTGGGTTATGGTTAGCGGTAATGTCTGTATGTAGTTCGATTGGAGCTGCCTCACTCTGAGATCTCTCATCAAATGAAGAGAGTTCTCAGAGTGAGGCAGCTCCAATGTATATGTGCGTATTGATTGGGTTGCTGTAAGAAGCAGTGCTTGTGTGTAGTTCGATTGGAACTGCTTTACTCTGAGATCTGTCATCAATCGATGAGAGTTCTCAGAGTAAAACTGTTCCAATGTGTAATCTTGTGCTAGCTTGTCTGTTCGATTGGAACTGCTTTACTCTGAGTTCTCTCATCAATTGATGAGAGAAATAAGAGCAAAGTAGCTCCAATGTATATATGTGTATTGATTCGGTTTGGTTAGCTGGACTGTCTGTGAGTAGTTCGATTGGAACTGCCTCATTCTGAGATCTCTCATCAATAGATGAGAGAAATAAGAGTAAGGCAGTTCCAATGTATATAATCGTATTGATTTGGTTGCTTTAAGTTGGAGTGTTTGTGCGTAGTTCGGTTAGAACTGCTTTGCTCTGAGAACTCTCATCGATTGATGAGAGTTCTCAGAGCAAAGCAGCTCCAATGTGTAAATTTGTATTAGTTCGGGTGAAAGAAGTTGTAGTGCTGGTGCGTAGTTTGACTATCAAGAAGCTCGCGATTCAAAACTCATCAAATGAAAAGTTTATAGTGGGCTTGTTGATAATATGTTAAAGGTGATGTTCTTGTTCGAGTTGTAACAAGAAGGAATACATGAGTACGTAAGCTCGGCATTCGCCGAGCGAATTAAAGATAACGGACGAATTTAATTTATTTTATTTCAAAATTTCAAATTTTAATATTTAATTATATAAATTAAAATAAACACTTTTACAAATTTTTATAAAAAAATATGTGACATATCGTTTTACCACAATTCAAAATAATTAATGTTGATAAATGTATTTAATATGTAATATTAAACATATTTTGCGCGAGAAGTGAGTTGTGGTAACTTTCGTGGATATCCATCGTTCATTTTATGGTAAAAATTCTCAATTTGTGGGAAAAGTTCTTAATTTTGTGGTAATTTTTATGTACCACAACTCAATTTGTGGTCACTTCATCTTACCACGTGGTAAGTTTTTATAAAACTCTTTATTTACCATTGATTTCTGATTTAATATCAATATCTTGAATAATCAAGCATATCTATCGCTTTAAATTTTATTCTCTAATTCCAAAAAAAATTCAAAAATCAAAAAATGAAAAAAATATTTAGAATTTTTTCCGTCAAAAATAAAAAATGTTCCCACTGAGTGGTTTCCATGGAAAGTTACCACTGGGTCCCACAGGGATTAGCCTAGGGCTGTACAAAATCGAGAAAAACATTGCCGTGCGGTAATATAGGGTCAAAAAAATCGCGCCTCGGCACTATTAAGTGCGCATTATATTTAATATGTCCTTCTTTTTTTTCTTTTTTCTTCTTCTTCTTTTCCTTTCCTTCTTCCTCTCCTTCCTCTTCTTTCCTTCTCCTTCTCTTTTTACAACAATGTCGAAGATCTTCGAATTTGATTGTTGGAAAAGCATCTATTTCAGATAAAGGATGCCTTTCTCACAGTCAACATACGAGGGTCCTGGCTGAAACGTTCTCAAAAAGCCTGAGATGGTAATTCTCTGATCACTCATAGCTGGGCAGGTAGTCATTGCTGACAATACCTGTCTTTATGCATGCACGCTTTCATGTATATGGGTTTACACTATCAATTCGCAAAGTTGTTCCGAATTCTTCCAAAATGGAAGGACCCGAAACAACTTTGCTTGTTAACGATACAGACGCATTACTTTGCATTGATACTGTGCTGAGTTGTGTAGAAAGTTTGATTAGAGTTGTTTTGTTCTGGTATCTCTCATCTTCTGATGAGAGAAATCAAAGCAAAACAACTCTAATGAATTTGTTTTCACTCATTTGTATGTAGGTTTTTAGTTCGATTGGAGCTGCTTCATAATGAGATCTCTCATCAATTGATGAGGGAGATCATAACAAAGCAGCTCTAATGTATATGCTCGTATTAACCGGGTTGTAATGCGTTGTAACGTCAGCTTGTAGTTCGTTTGGGGCCACTTCACATTGAGATGAGAAGAAATGATTAAAGGACTCTGAAAGGCTTTGGCCGTTGATGTTGTAATCGCATTACTTGGAACTAGCTGGATGCTAAGCTGTGTAGAATGTTCGATTAGAGCTGTTTTGATATGATTTTTCTCATCATAAGATTGGAGGAATCATAGCAAAACAACTCTAATGGGTTTACCATCATCTACTTGTATGTAGATGTTTGGGAAATTGTCTTGTTAATCGATTTTCGAGATGACTTTCAAATGCTATAATCAAATGACAAACAAGTCTAAGATTTCTCGACAATACATCAAATCATGATGTTTGTAAGTGCGATGAGATTAGAGTTTTTGAAGGAATGACAAGAGAAGTAGGGAAGCTCGGCATTCGCCGAGCAAATTAAAAATTAACGTATGGATTAAATTTTAAGAGGAATTCAATTTTAATTACGGGTTGTTCAAATATTGATTAATATAAATTTATTAATAAGAATAAACAATTTTTGTTTTTGAATTTATTCAATTTATAGCTTTACATATAGTTTCAAAATTGTACAACTATGATTATTTCAACAAAAAATATCTTACTTTTTCACTTCACTTTCACTCTCACTTTTTCCGTAATTCAAATTTCAACATTATGTATTTTAATTCCTTATAGTATTTTTAACATAATTAATCAAATAATAATTGGAAGTTCCGAACTCACTTTTTCCGTAATTCAAAATCAAAAATATGAATAATATATCTATTTATTATATACTAATGCTATTTTCAACTAGAAGTGAGGTACGGTAATCTTACGGATTCCCGTAACTCAATTTTACGGAAAAAGTGCAGTAAACTACTCAATTTACGGGAAAAGTGTCGTAAACTATTGATTTGGCGGTAAAATCACGGTAATTCACGGAAAGCTATATGCGAAAATTTGAAATTATACAAAATCGAGCGAAACCCTTTTAAATACGTTGTTCTCGTATTTAAAATACTATTCCCAGATTTATTGTCGTCAGAATATTTACAAATTTTTGCCGATTTACAAAAAATGATTTACAAAGCATATTTTTTAATCTAAAAAATTCCTAAAAAAAGGAACCGGTGCGCGGAAACCTCGGTAAATTACCGCTGTTCCCGTTGGGACTGCCATAGATTGGCCTAAGTATTTCTTAATAGAATGTGAAATAAAGTAAAATTAACTATATTTAGGGTTGTTAAAAATATCAAAAATTAGCGTTTTGAAGACACCATGGTGTCTTATAATTTTCCCTTCCTTATTGGCGTGTAGAAATAAATGCGCCAATAGATTGAAGAAGAAGAAGAATTGTTTTTCTCTTAATGAACTTTAATCCTTTTGATATAAGAATATTAAAAACATTAATATAATTTCGATTTCGGAAATTAAATTTCCAAATTTTTTGTCGATTTCGGAAATAACAGGATCCCGCATCCAACACGCAACAACAAAACACAAAACATACTTTTTGGTTCTTTCATCGTTTTAATCGTAATTTATGTAATACATGATTTGGATAAATTTTACAATAATAGAACCTATATTATATTCTTTTCAAAGATTCTTGCAAATCATCAAAAATAATTGTATTTTAAAAAACGATCAAATTATCCTTTCATTATTTTAAACTTAAATTAGTTTTTATGATTGACTAAAGCAATCATATTTATTCATCATTAAATAAACAAAAAAATAATATTTGAGAGTTATTTCAAAAAAAAAACGCATTGAATTTATTAATTTGTCTCAATTTCAGTATTATAAATTTTTATAATTTCAATATTTTGAAATACACTTTTTAATATTTCAATATTTATGATATTTCAATGTTTTAAGTGGTCTCAAATTGAGCTTCTCAAATATAAGTTGGCCTATTCAAATAATAAAATTAAATAATATTTAAAATAATAAATAAAAGTGATTGAGGTCATAGCAAAACGGCTGTTTGGAGGCAGTTAGGAGCTAGCGGTTGAAGCGATAACATTCACAGCCAACATCTACGGTCAAGCGGCAGCATTCAAGGGCAACATCTACAATCAAGCGGCAGCATTCAAGGGCAACATCTACGATCAAGCAGCAGCAACGAACTACGGCAGCAAGGGGCTACGGCAGGTCAAGCGGCATCATTCAAAGCCAACATCTACAATCAAGCAGCATCAAGGGGCTACAGTAGGTCAAGCTGCAGCATGGAGCTACAGCATCAAGGAGCTACGGCAAGTTAAAGATCAGTCAGATCTGGAAATATCTTTTTCAGGATTTCATTTGTCATGAAAAGCTTCAATAGGATTCTACACTTTATTAGATCTTCACGTGCGTTTTGATTAAACCTATTACGCAGGTTCCGCACAATTGAAATCATTCTTTCCACATCAGCTTCGGTTGCAGCAATAGACATGAATTTTAAGGCAATCTCTTTCAATGCCTTGAAATTTGCATCACATGCTACCCAAAACCTTTGATCCAAGCAGGTGAGGTCGGTGTTGTTCCTGATTTCACTCTCATTCATATGTATAAAGTTGGAAAGAGCTTTCTTGTACTCATTAGCTATGTTCTTGGCCGAACTTCTCTTGTAGAACCTCGCTTCTGCTTCTGCACGTCTCGAAAGCATCTCGATCATAAAATCGTTGAAGCTGTACTCTTCCACTTCTTGCATTGACAGAGACGCCCATTCACCAAGGTTCCTGCCTAGTCTCCTCCTTGGTTCATTCTCTTCAACTTCTTCATCCTGAGCAATGTCTTCTGCATCTACTTGGCCATCACCTTCAATTGCTTCGTTCTCAATCTCGGGCTCTTCTATATCTAGATTTCTGTCCAATTGATCCTCTGCCACTTCATCCAAATGATCAGGGGTGTAGCTCCTTGGAGGGATTTCAAGTTCAGCATTGATAGGTATTGGTTTTTGGAAGAAGAGTGAAACGTCTGGCTTGTACTCAGTATGCATGTTCAATTCTGCGCGGATGACTGACCGGCCCCATGGAGTTAGACCAAAGGCAAATTTCATCAAAGCGTAGTTGCCCTGTTTGTCAAAAACTTCATTCATGTTGGCGATTAATGCATCTGCAATGCGCTTTGACGAACTTGATAATTCAGGACGATTTGCAATTCCGGTCAACTGCTCAATCGTCGATTGAAACATTGGATAGATGTAGCAGAAGCAGCCAACGTCACTCTCTGCATAATTCAAGAGTTTCTTGATTGGTAAAAGAATCTCTTCGAAATTTAACAACCATTGTGGAAGTCCATCCTTGAAATCAATTCCCATATCCCTTAAGATCTGAACAGATTCCGGTGGATCATCCATATTGAACAATTCATAAATTTTAGGGTGTTTTTCTTTTATCCACTTCAGAAGATCCCAGAAAAACATCCAGCGATGATCCGGAACATGAATAACCCTCATATTCAATGCCCTTCTCGTGTCCGGCTTCGATAACTCCTTGCTTATCGCTTTGCAATAATTAATTTGCATTGCGAAAGCTGCACAATTGTCTGCCGTATGCTTCACCACTAAGTTGAGGAGATGCGCAACACATCGGATATAAACGGTTTGAAGACCCGGATATAGTGCTCCGCATCTCCTCCAGTGGCACAGCCCTTTAACTTGGGCGGGGCATCCATCGGCAACAATTGCAGAAAGGAAATCCTTTGGGAAGGTAAAACATTCAAAGAAATTATTGTAATCCCTGGCATTCCAACCATCAGCGATCATAGTATCAATGAAGATATGGTTCTTCATTTTTGCTGGATTGCTAGCCATCACAAAAAAGCCATGCCGGCTTCCGTGTGATGCCGCATCAATTGTTATCGAATAGTAGCCCATCTTGTCAAGCTCAACGTGTATTTTTGGAGCTACCAAGTCGGCTAATGTAATGATTCCATCCCTTATCTCGTCTCTTCTATATGGGATCTTGAGTTGAAAATTGATTACTCCCTTGAAGGTGGAGTAGACATGTCGGGCGAAATCTTCTAGTACACCTGAAGCGGCCATATTGATTGACATGTTGGTATCCACAACAAATTTTACAACATAAAGTAATTTTCTATCTTGTTTTATTAAATCTCTTCTCGTATATGGATTATTTTCACATTGTATTTGATATATATGCTGATGATCTTCTTCAAATTCTGATGGTTTTCGATGATAAATGCAGCGCATATATGTTTTTGTTAGTAAATTGTAATGTATCGCTAAACAATAACAATAAAGTCTTTTTCGTTCTTTCGATTTTTCGCTTGTATCTGGAAGATAAGCAATATTGAAGCATACTCGACATTTATTATTAGTTGAGAATTTAGTATCCTCGAATTTTGGTAAGGGAGGTACTTTTCGAGGGATATTTTTGGGAGGAAGTTTGCAATCAATCCATCCCTCAAATTTGGATTCATATTCATCTTGTGTTTCAGTCATTAATTCTTAAAAATAAAAAGGGTAAAAACTAAATAAAATGGGTAAAATTCAATAGTGTCTGTGCTATCGTTCAATTTGAAGGTGTCTTTTGAAACCGCAAGACACATTGAATTTTTGAATAGTGTATTATGGTTTGACAGACACCAATGAAAAAAATAAAATGATATTTATTTTAAATATATAAGATCCTTATATAAAATATAAATATTTTATCGTTTTATTTTCTTGTTTTAGAAATGTTTTTTATTGAAAAATCAATAAAACTAACTCCAAAATAAAATTTTGATTTAAAGACACTATGATGACACCAGGCAAATCTTCCAAGACACCTATCGTCGGGAATCTAACAACCCTAACTATATTCAAAATGGAAAAAAATCCAAAAAAATTTTGAAAAAAAGAATTTCATGATAAAAAGCATAAATTTTGCATCAGAAAATTAAATTCAGGTATTTTTTTTGAAATAGAAAGAGTCCTAAAATTAGTTAAAAATCATTTTTTATTCAAAAGAAACGCTATTTTTAAGGAATTGAAAAGAATTTTATTTAATAATATTTTATTTATAGAATTTGCATATATCATATGCATAGACATATTGAATTGTAAACATGAGAACACTAATTACATTAACTTGTCGTTCAAATTATTGCATCGAGAAAAAAGTGCTATAAATTTACTCAATTAGTTTACAAACGTAAATATTTGGCATAAACTTTACGTTTGTAAACTAATTTGATTAAATTTAGTAAATTTTAGTTCGAATGCAAGTTTTCTCGGTAAATCATTTTTTAGACCTCAAATGAGATGTATGATCATATGAGCCACATATGATTTAATCCGAATATGTGTGAGAATTGAGTTTAAAACGAAGTTTATTTTTTGGACTATATTTCGCCATTTTAAAATGTGTAATAATGATATAATTCGCATGAAATTGAAAAATATTGACTGGATGTGTAATGGTTTTATAATTGCAATGTTGATTTGATCGAATTTAAATGAATATATAACGCGATGAAATTTCGAATTGCTCAAATGTCTGTAATTCATATATGGTGCACATATTAATATTACATTTCGTTGATATTTACCACATAAACCTTTAAATATTAAGTCATTTTAAAGTTATATGCGATTTAGTTCCAAAATGCACGTTTAGAAAAAGACGATAACGATTAAATTACAAAATCGATAACGATAACGATTAAATTACAAAATCGATAACGACCCGGTTAATATCCGAAGTTTGAAGTGTAATCATTATTTTTAATAGCTTAAATAATTAGTTAACATTGTTACCATTAAGACGATAGTATATTGTACTGAGAAAACAATAAAGCTAATCAGAATAGGATTTCAGTTGCGAAAGTACAGTTTTTACGGAATGCATAGTTCATGAAATACTTTAGAGGATAAGTGATATTTTAAGTATATAGTTAGAAAGAAGGAATTCATTTTTATGGTTTCAAAATTGTGAAGAATAATAAATATTGCGAAAATAAAGATATGAGAATCTCAATAATAGAGCGAGGGTGTGATTTTTGAGTTTAAAATAAAAAAATTAAATACCATCACAGTTTTGGAAAAATTAAAATAAAGAAAATTGACGTAATAATATTGGGTTAAGTTGTTACATATGTTTTAGCAAATAATATATTCAAATGTTAAATCCATTTTTTGAAAAGAATAGTAAATCGAATTCAAAAAAATAATTTTAAATTTATTTAACAAATGAGATTTAAAGTAAAACTCAAAGTTTTGGTTTTTCAATATTTTTAATTTTTTGAGAACAATAAAGGGTCCGACCATTTAGCAAAGATTTCAAAAGTAATCGATTATTACAATAGGTGGTTTTATTCCATTTTATTCGATTGTATTTTTTTATTAAGTATTGAAATCAACAAATTGAATACTTCTAAGCCAAATTATCTATTTAATTAGTAGAAATAACATGGACTAATATTTATTTTATATTTGGCCAAAATGTCAAATAACTGTCAAACGTTAATAAGTTTGCCTTTCCATTATATTAGTTTTTCTTTAAAAATCAAAAGTTATAAGACTTAGCTAAAATAACAATATAGGAAAAACTATTCAAATATAAAATAAATTAGCAATTTTTTTAAAATTAGAAATATTATTGTCTTTCAACTGACATACAGATCAATTCATTAGAAAAAATAGCATTTTAATAGTGGTTAAATAAAAATAAAGTATATAATTCGTCATAAAATTTGTTTTGAAAATTGAGAAGAAAATTCGGTTTATCGAATTGAATAGATAACAATATCAATTGATTTACTGAACTGAAATAAATTATATTAAAATATAATATACCATTATATTTAAATTGGCGATTTATGAAACTAGTTAATTCTGAATATTACAATTAATTATCGAATTAAATCATTGCATTTCACATATAGAGGATATCTATATGCAAATTTTTATTTTGAAATATGATTGCCATTCAAAATTATTTTTAACCAATCACAAGTACAATGGATACATATCATTTCATTAAAGCATATAAAAATTGAATTTAACCAAAAACGAGATCAATTCAAAAATATCACATAAGAACTTATGTCAGATTCTCAATTTAGTATTTTAATATCAAGACAGTTTGACTTTTGTTAACAACCACTTTTCTTTTAAACTTGTGAATACCTCACAATAATTGAATTCAAATTCTTGATGCTCAATTTGATCACCGAAATATCTTAATACCTATCACTAAATATTACTCAAAGCTCATTACAATTCTGAACTACGTTTATTTTGATGATCCTTTTTAATTTTTGATAATTGTTATCAAATTCTTTCATATATAATTTCTATTATTTCTATTATATCATCCAATACTAACTTATTTCGATCGACCAAGTTACATTTTATTGAAACACACGTTAAAAAATTGAGATCTTCTTTTCAATTTTCAGACTTAAGAACATTATATTTATTCTATAAAAATCCCTTCTATGTATCTATATTATTATTCTTTCATATTTAAAATTCTTTAATTTTATCTAAACTTAACATATTTATTTACCATATATTGTTTATTAAAATTTATCACCAATTGTTTTTACCCTCTCTCTTTCAAAATTTTATATTCCTCAATTATTAAATACTATTCAAATTGCTTTGAATTAAAGACCTGCAATTTCATTTCATTTTTCCATGGAAGATTCTAAACCAACTGTAACTACAACTGTCACCGACTATGCATCGTCCTCGCTATCGAGGTATGCACATCTGATCGATATCCCATTAAGCGATCGCATCCTTGATGCCCTTATCTCCTTGTTTAACTACTTTGATATATATGCCCCAAAGATGCCAGTGCTGTATGCAGTTGTTACATACATAAGGTTCTTCCAATTAGTTGGCGGAGCTTTCATGGCAGAAAACGTCTCTTCTTTTAAGCCAGGAACATTAGCCTATGATACAATAAGCTATATTTCGATTTTATTCCATGCCATTCCTTTGCAATATAGACTTGGAAATGGTGCCTACGTTCTTTTTGCTTTTAATGGAATTTTGATTCTCTTTGGTATCTACTTATTGGCAACAGCCTTTGTATATAAGAAGACTACAAAGGTATCAAGGTTCTCCATTATTGCTTTGAGTGCATTCATGGCTATAGGTCCATATATTTTGACACCTTTAATTACACAGTACACCGGTCAAATTATTTCGGCTCTAATTATGAAGGAAAGACCAGTAAATGCAAAGGACGTTGCAGCCATTGTGATGACAATAGTTGTTGTTTCATGTTACCTTTGGATTATGATTCGATCATACTCAAGCTCATTAGTTTTCAGACCGTGCTCATTCCAATCAATAGAGGGTAGCCCACAGAACAAATTATATGTTACAACAATTTGGGTTACTTTTGTTTTTTCTCTCACAACTTACTTTACAAGATATCCAAGTGCAGCGATGATCATACTAAGTATTTTCTTCTATGCTTACAGTGCTTCTACAGTTTTCCGCTGTGGAACATTCATCAAACACCAGCACAAGGTCATGGCCCTTGGTGGTTCCATTCTTGGTACATGCTTATGCGCAGCAAACATTTATTCATGCTTAGTAAGAAGACCTTGGGGATCGCCATTTTTTGTGGGCGTAGTAATCGTCGCAGTTATCGTTTTTGTTTCAGTCCACTTTTACCTCAAAGGTAAAGAACATAGAGCACTTTGCATATTGGATGAATTAAATGATACACAGGATATTACAATGATCAAGAACAAGAACAAGCTTAAAGAGCTTATTTCATGCGGATTTATGTATTCTCATCCAATTTGCTGTTCTTTAACCATTTTCAAGCTTGCCATTGAACAGTGGAAAGAAGCTGTTGATATTTGGGCATTGTATGCTAAGTTCACAGCTATTTATCCAGAGAGATTACCACAATTAGAGTTCATTGCTCTTAATATCAACCAGCTTAACATCAAATCAGCAGATGTTTCTATTGTCTTAAGCAGTATCGGACAAATCACAAAGACAAGAGAAACAAAATACACCCCTCAATTGAAATATAAGATTTCTAAGCTTTCAAAGATGTTCAACAAGACAAAGAACAGACTCAGAAATATTTGGGATTTGATATTGCAAGGCAACGTTGCTGAATTAAACACAGCAATCAAGAGAACTAAGGAATCCGTTTCAGATTGCTCTCGTGAGATGAATTTCCTTAATATGCAATATCCAAATAACAGATATGTTGCTCGCCAAAATGTCCTTTTCTTCACAGATATTCTTGGTGATCCGTTATTAGGAAAGAAAGCTATAGAAACAATGCAAAAAGTATCAAGAGGCTATAGAATTCAAGAAGATACAGTTCATGAACTCGGTATCATTGCTTTTCCAAACATTCCAGAATATGCTTTAGATGTCGAGTCATCTACAAAGCTTGTCGTTGACTCTGAGACACCTCTTGAAGATAACTGCAATTTCATGAATGACGAAACATTCAACTTTGATGCTTTAGAACA